TTTTTTTTTTTTTGGTTCTTAGTTCACAATGTATTTAGTACAAATGAAACATAGGAGATCTTCTAACCTATCTGTATTTCTGGCTCTGTGCCTTAAACTGATTCCCACTGTGTTATTTTTGTGAACACCAGAAATCTCAAACATGGATGAAAATAGAAACTCCCAAATCTACAGATACTGGCAGACTGTCATTAAATAAAGCTTATTTTTACTGTTAGTATGTGCTGATTACTTACACCAAGGATTCTTAAAATTGTTAATTATAGTGCTTATTGTAATGAACTTGGGCCTGGGGGGAACTTCTCTGTTTTCAGTGTCTTACCTTCCTATCCTATCCACACATTCTGGCTAAGACATCAGAATGTAGTAACAAAGGTGTGAAACACCTTCTCCATGCCGAGATCTGTAGTAAGGGCTACTGTTTTCTGAGTTAAATCTACTCACTGTATTGTTATAAAGGAACACAAAAGCCCCTTGGTTTTTAAACATCAGTATGGTTAACTCTCAAACAACACAGGTTTGAGCTGCACAAGTCCACTTGTACTCGGATTTTTTTTGACAAATATTGCACAGTCCTGTATATGTGTTTTCTCATCCTTATGATTTTCCTAATAACATTTTCCTAGTTTACTTTATTATTCACATAACATACAAAATATGTGCTAATTGGCTATTTATGTTATCAGTCGGATCTCTGATCGACAGGAGGCTATTAGTATCAAAGTTTTGGGGAATCAAAAGTTTATGTCGATTTTCAACTATGCAGGGGGTTGGTACCCTATTAACCCCTGTTGTTCAAGGGTCAACCAATTTAAAAACTTGCCCTTCCTGGTGAGAAACAGTAGGCCACATTTCAAAATTAAATGAATCCTCTTAAAGATGTCAGTGGCTCAGGCATGTTGAGCAGTTTAAGCCAATTAAGCCCAGGCAGCCTGCCTAGAGATTGGAGTATGAAGTATTGAGGGGGATTAGTTAACCACCCAATACTGTCCCTCCTTTACCTAAAAGGAAGAAGCCACTAATAATCTGATAAAGTCAAATATCAGTGCATTTAAGGGGCCCAACAAGAGAAAAGATGCTTGAACACAGCGGGCATTTGATGAAACCAACAACTCAAGAACGAACTAGAGCTAAAACACAGTGTAAGTATTCAAGGACAGGTAAGCATGGCTGGGACTAACACTCTATGATTTTAGAAGTAAATTAGAGTAATAATTAAAGAACAGCATAGCCACTGTTGTGACCCAAATCATTGATCTGAAGACCTCAAGGAAGAAATACCTCAAAGTGCACACACATACGCATGCACACACACGAAAACATAAGGGTGACAAGGGAAGAAAAGGGTGACAGATAAATTGAGGATATATAACATATGGCTAATAGGTGTATTGGAAGACAAAAAGAGGTAAAAAGAATAAGCTTTCAAGTAACAGAAGAAAAATTGTCCTACCTGAGGCAAGACCTAAACCTACATGTTTTTTTTTTAAATATGAAATTTATTGTCAAATTGGTTTCCATACAATACCCAGTGCTCATTCCAACAGGTGCCTTCCTCAATACCCATCACCCACTCTTCCCTCCCCCCCACCCCCCATCAATGCTCAGCTTGTTCTCAGTTTTTAAGATAAACCTACATGTTGAAAAGATAATTGAAGATGAAGGTAAATGCAGTGCGGAAAGACACATTTAGGTACATTCCGTGACACTGATCAGTAGCAAAGAGAAAGAGAAATTCTTAAAAACCGGCCAAAAACAAAACAAAAACAAAAGCTACCTATCAAGCAAAATGGATCAGACTGGCATGGAGCCAACCATTTGCAACACTAAGTTGGTACATGGTGGCTACAGACTGTAAAAGAAAAAATGACTAAAGCAAAGGAATGCTTTACTCAAAAATTTTACCCACCAGGGTGAAAAAAAGAAATATTTGCAGATATATACAGATTTAGAAACTATATTACCTACATAACCCATATGAAGGACATATTCAAGGAAAGAATCTAATTAAACAGTAAAGGACACTAATCACCATCAAGGAGGATGAAAAGGATAAGAGACAAGTGATGAGCAAGATGATATGGATTATGTGTTTGATGTACCTGGTAAATAAAGATTCTTGACATAGAAGACACACATTACAGGGGAAGGTCTACTGTTCTACTGAGAATCTATTATGTGATTCTCAGTGGGAGGCACTATTACCCTAAAGGGGATGAGTTTGTTCACTGTGTGCATGTGTGTGTAAGTTATTCTTTTTATAAATAAAACACAGATATATATACAATAAATATGCAACATATCTGTGGTATTAAAATCTCATGGTTGGGGGGGGTGCAGGTTTAGGGAAAAAAACGTCTAAAAAGTCTCCTTAGTAAGGTGATAGAAAAAAGAAGATTG